TGAATGAAAGTGTGTCGTCACCACACGTTCGTGAAGCTAATCGAGTATGTATATATTGAGTAGGAGGCCATAGCTCTTAGGTTGGAGGCCATCTCTATTCCCTAGGATTTAGGGCCCACCATTGTTTGAATGCTTTGAATCCCGAACCGAGCTGCTTTATGGATTTTACCATGCGCCCAAAAGCAAGTCGACCATTTCGAAGGTCTGGGACTCTGGGTATATATAGAAGCCAAAGCGGTCTCTATCTACTTGGGTCCGAGGAGTCGTTTGGAAGATTCCTTCCGTTCGCGAAGCGGTTTCGATTCTTGTGGCAACGCATCTGCAGTTCTCCCTTTTTTCGAAGGGGTTCCATATGAACAACCTTTTAAACCGTGCTAATTGAATCATTGAGTGAAGAGCGGTCGTGAATTTCAATCATGGGCTAAAACCTGCAAAAGCGACAGGCCTCCCTCAACAGCGACAACCTTGCTGAATCATGTCCTCTACTTGACAGTATGTTTTGCCCGATGCTGATCATATTTGTTCGCCAGAGTTCTTACAGGACTCTTTTGAATGTGTACCCAAGACCATTATAAAAATGGTTGGCCAATTAAGTTGATGGTTGTTGGAAGCCTAGGGTGTATGTCTATAACACATGGAGCACAATGTCTGTAACACGAACGTTGGAGGGTCTCATGTTGTGAAGGACCCCGAGGAGGTGGGACGTTTGCTGAGCCTCATGCGGAAGATTCAGGCACCGGTTGCTGGACCGAGACTCGTTGACTTCACCACCGAGACTCGTTGGGTAGATTGAAGGCTAGGGCCAACATCGGGCAAGCTTGAAGAGAGGCAGAGAGTCCGAGAGAGCATGCAAGCTTCGTTTTCGCACGTTTTGCACGTCTAGACTTGGGACGCCAGGAGATTCTTGAGCGCTGTGGCATGACAGAGCTCTTGGATGACCCTGCAGCATTGGAAGCAGTGCGATTTGGCCCAGTCGTGCGATGGTGTTGAACACATCGGCCGGAGAATTCAGGGCCCACAAGGTGAAACAGGTGAGCTGGCTGGCGGGAGACGAATTCCTTTCTTATTGGGAAGCTTAGCACGAGTCGTTGTTCTTGTACTCCGGAGATTTGGTCTCATCTGGCAGTCTTTTAAGGTTGCAAAGGTACAAAGCCATGAAAGCAGCCTTTGAAGCTCATGGTTTCGACGAACTCTTCGAAGACCCCGTGAAGCTGGAGTCCTTCTTGGGGACACATCGCCAGGCGATGGGGTTCGCCACAACTGCAGGATCTACCGGAAGATGACAAGGATATGGACTCATCATGACAAGGGATATGCAAAGAATCTTACGAGTCCAAGCGTGAGTTGAAACCACCAACGAGTATGGAGAATCAGGAGGCAGATTACCTTCGACCTCATTGGGAGTTAGAATAATATACGTAACTCCAAACCGCTTTAGTTAGAGTTCCATTAGAATTCATTGGGACTTAATTAGGATCAACTCGACTTGACTTGAACTAGTTTGAGTTTAAGTTGATTAAGTGTTAACTTACAATTTCATCGACATTTGGATGAATAAGTAAGAAACGATTCGATTCATTCGATCGTAAGTAGAATGCATTCCATTGCGGGTGAATAATGTCTCCAAGTGTTTTGTCATGTGTCGCCCTCTGTCGCTCTCTGTGTCTGCCACAGATGTCCCCGATGTCTCCAACAGGTTCGTGACGTCTTTGAGGAGTTCCAACAGATGCATTTGTTGGAAGATGCTGAAGCCGCCCGAAGCTTCTTCCAACAGAGGCAGCTGGACTTGGAGGACAGGTTTGGTGGGCGGAGTTGAGGGGTGAAAACAGCTAGTCGAAACCGGTGAAACCGCGGAAGATGGGACAGACAAGCAGCTTGTCGATTCAGAAGTTGCATAGAAATCAGAAAAACCAAATCAGTTGCAAAATCAGCTTTGCCGCGATGACGTCGGAGGAGTCCTCATCCACTGCAACCACACTGAAGTCCTTGGAGGCGGAGATGGCGGAACTCCGGCGTCAGCTTCAGGACGTGACCCCGGCGACACGTCAGGTCACGTCGGGACCGGGTTTTCGCGTCGTTGGTTTCGTGTTTCGCGAGAGAAAATGCTGGACATTGTTTGAAGAAGGACATGCTGGACGTGTTCTTTTTCAGGAGTTGCAGGAGCAGCGGGAGGCCATGAGGGCTTCTTTTGAGAAGCACGGCTTTCGGCCGCTCTTCGATGATGTGGAGAAGCTGGATTCCTTTTTGCAAAGCCACCGTGAAGTGCGGGATGTCTTTCAAGAAGCCAACCACGAAGACCTGCTGGAGGACGCCGAGAAAGCGCGAATCTTTCTCCAGATGTTCGACCAAACAGAGGATGACCGTCGTTTTATGGCGAAGCTAAGAGAGGTCTTTGAAGAAGCAGGCCAAAGCCGACTGCTAGAGGAATATGAGGCCACAACGGATGCAGGAGATGATGACCATGCAGATGAGGAAGCGGAAGATGAAGAAGATGATGCAGAAGCAGATGATGCAGAGGAAGCAGAAGAAGCGGATGAACCAGATGAAAGGGATGAAGACGTAGATGAAGATGAGGAGGGAGAAGAGGAAGAAGGGGAGCCTCGAGAAAGCTTGAAAGACAAACCATCGGAAGACACTGACGAGCTTCACACTGCTTCCAAAGGCAGGCAGTGAAGTGGCTGTGGTTCAAAACCCAGAGCTCCACCTCCCAGGTAGTCTATTCTGATCTATTCTGTCCATTTTCGGTGGTCAACCCATAGTGTCCCAGTGTTGACCCTCAGCCAAGTGTGTTGATGAATTCATTGCCAACACACGCACAGTTGATTGTGTGACGGAGTAGATCGGTCGACCCATAAAATCGGAAATCGGACCTGATGAAGTCACAGGCTGGTCTTCTTGTTTGTTGAGCAGGAAAAAGCCTGCGACTTCTCATCATTTTTTGTTCATGAGGGTTGAAAAGGACAATGATGGTGTACATGATTGTTGTGTCACTGATTTGAGTAGGTGCCCGTAGGTGGTTCAAAGGGAGACCGCCCTCACCAGGTTACTTTTCTACAGGAACTCAAGGCCGAGGGCATCCAACCATCCACCAATTCATGGAAAAATATCTATACGTACACCCGCTTGAGTGGAACTCCCCAAAGGACACGGATGCAAGACATGTGGCACTTGAAGCAGTGCTCACAACTAATCAAACTTCTTAACCACTGTGCTAGGTTGAGTTCATGGGCGGCGGATTCAGCAAAACAACCGGCGGCAGGGAAGACAGTGGCGGCAGCTCCGATAAGGCCGCAGCAGTCCTTTCGAGCGCTACGGGCTCATCTCTTCCGCACCAACGCCTTTGAACGGGTCCTGCGAGAAGTAGGCGATGGTTTGTGCGGGTCTGTGCGGATTGTCGTGCGGTGGTCCGCACTCAGAGAGATGGCTTCCAAGAGCAAACGTCAGTTTTGGTAACCCCGTGATGTTCGCACTTTATAGACTCTATATGACTCTATACATGACCAGTCTCCAGTGCTGAACACTGACACCTGCAGCAAACGTGCACAAGAAACTCTTGCTGCATGTTCCGTCGAAGTGCGGATCTCGTGAAGTTCTGATGCGATCCGGAGGAACGGGCGATAATCATGGATTTTCCCCATATTAAACAGGGAGCCCTTCGGAGCTAGGAGTTCCCCAACCCTTGCTAGGATGAGATTTGATGTTGGGTCAGGGCGGAGGGTGTAGCTGTAGCGGACTCAGTCCACATGATGGGTCTCCACAGATTTTTGTCTTTCTGAATTCGTTGTTTTCGATTCACACCAGTTGAACCTGATTTGATCGACTGAACATTTTTTGTGTTTTTTTTGGATTTCTTCTGTCGACCCTCTCGACGAGAGGCATGGAGCATCTTTTGGATGATCCCAACGAGTTGGGCCGCCTGCTGCGGCTTTTGAAGGAACTCATGTCGATCCTGGAGACCTACGGCGCCTTGGACTGACGATCAGCCCAGTGGTGCCGACTTGGCACGTTCGGACTGGGACTCGGCACACCCACCCCCGACAGACGATCTCATGGACCCAGTGGTTTTGGGGGTGGGCCATCGGTCCATTTGACCGGGGAGTACGGTGGAAAGCGGTGTTGGCAAGGGGAGCGTCAGATGGAAGGAGGCTGAGGAGGTGCTGAAACCTGTGTCGACTGAGGATTGAAGGAGGTGGAGCACGATCCAACCCGCCTGGCAGAAGTGCTTTCTGCTTACAGAGCCTTGCTGGGAGCTTAGCCTCAACGTGCAACAGGTACACCTGGTACACCGTGGCGTAGAAAGACCAGTGTCTTTACTTTTGGAAGGTTCGAGCCTTGCAACTGAGGGAAGCTGCCTTCAAAGAGTATGACATGTCGGAGCTCTTTGAAGATCCGGAGTATTCCTTGAAGGCCACAAATGGTTGAAGATTTGTGGCCAAATGGCACAAAAGATATCAATAGATGGATATGAGTTTGTTGTCCTCAACGGGCTGAAAGCAAGATGCTATCTCCATCCTTTTGCGAGGCCTTCCTGCGGAATCATCATCGCATCCGGGCCGAGTTCGACAAGTATGGCCTGGGATATTTGTTCGACAGTGTGCCTTCCATGCGCGACTTCCTTGCAAGGTACAAGGCGACGCGTCGCGAGAAGCGCGTTTCGCGTCCGCGACCTGCGTCCATACAGCTCGATTGAGTTCAAAGGCTCGGTCCGTGCCTTGGTGAACAGGGGGGTCCAGGCTCCGTTGATAGGCCTGCACGATGCATCCACAAGAATGGTCCGTTGATTCATGCCCAAAGCTCTAAATCTTGTTCTTTAGCTTGCATCATGATCAGATTTCTTCCATGAACCGCAGTACTGCTGTTGAAGGACAACAATACTAGACTACACATTCTTTGGGAGCCTCTAAATCATGGTGGTTGGCACGCTACCCAGCTGAGTCTTCACTTCGAATCGCAGGACATGGAAGACGAGCTGAAAGCGATGAAAGCCGCCCGCGCGGGCGAGAAGTTGGCTGAGCGGGATGCAGACGCTGGGCGAAGTGGACCGTTCATTCACTGAATGAAGCTACTAGGGGAAGACGCTGGGAAAAAGAAGCTACTAATTAGGGGTTCCTGGCCATACTACTAGGAGCAAGAACGCTACTAGGGGCTCCTGGCCATACTACTAGGAGCAAGGACGCTACTAGATGAAGGATGGAGGAACAAGAAGGATGGAACCGTCCAAAGGATGGAGGAAGGGAATGGAACGGATGGAGGAAGGCGTCACTCTAGGAGATCGGGTCTGCCTGAACAAACTCCACGAATGCTGCCATTCGGAGGTTTTTCAGCGGAGTTTGTCACCCAACATATGATTAGATGTTCCTGTCCTCCCTCCAGTTCTCTGACATTATGTTGTCGGTTTTGTGTATGAAAGATGAGAGCTTTCCACCCCAATCTGAATTCAGCACCCCTGATCGAAACAGCAAAGATGCAATCAATGCAAACTCAGTGAGTGAAGAGCCGATGTTTTCGCATCTTTCTGAAGAAGAAACAGGTCTCTTTCTTCACTGTGCCCTCCTTCTCTCCCGGGCGCAGTCGACTGAGGAAATGGGGCGCCTGGAAAGTCGACTCTTGAAGAAGGCGGGTCGAGGTCGACGCCGACGGTTCGCCGTCGACCCCGAAGGCCCTCTCAATAGGCAGGTGAGCTGAAACCAACTTCCTTTCGGGATGGAGCTTGTAGACGACATGAGAGGTACTCAATCTTTGATGCCAAAAAGCTGTTTTGCTGGTGAACGGCTTTTCCAGACTTGACAGCAACTCCTTGCGCAAGCAAGGTAAGCAACTCCTGTCAGCCTGTCACATGCTTTGTCTTGGCGTCTCAGGAGGAGGAGATTGAAGCCCTGAAGGAACGGCTCAAAGAGTTTGAGCAATTGGGTGACGTCGAAGCAACTTCGCCGAATTGGTGTGTGATAAACCCAGTGAACTCAGCAAGTAAAGCACGCAGGATGAGGACCTGGACTTCAAAAAGCCCACGGTTGCTGTGATTTGCATGGTATGACATGTATTTGTGCCACAACTAGCAGCTTGAGTCTATCCTGTTCACTGCAAGAGTCGGTAGAAACTTGTCACAATTTTTGGGTAAAAGCCTCTATTAACCCTCCCTCATTTGCTGTTACAGGGAAACAAAGAAACCTAAAGCCATTATCAGAGCTATTTTGTTTTGATAAGCTACCACCCGCTTAATTAAGTGCATGAAACGGAGGTCACTGGACCTCCACTCGGCCTAAGCAAAGTGCAAAATACGTGATACGTTTCCGTTTGAAGAATCATTTTTAGAGTAATTGCTCGAGCGGACTCACCAAGACCATCCAGAAGTGGAAGGCGGACTCAGAGGAATTGAAACGTCTAGCTCTCAGCACACGTTTCATGTCGCGTTCTTCGTGAGATGGAAGAGTAAGGTTTTAAATGTATTCGCAGTGAAGAGTGAAGAGAGGACGCTATGATCGGGGCTCCTTGGGCTTACTACTAGGAGCAAGGGCTACTAGGGGCTCCTGGCCGTACTACTAGGAGCAAGTTGCTACTAGTAACAAGAGTGAAGAGAGTTACAACATCCTTGTAACTTGGTCCATTGCCATCCATGATTTACACCCAGTTTGATGCTTTGGAAAAGATGTGTGTCCCTGAAGGCCACCACAATTCAGTTTCCCCAAACATCGTGGTGAACCAAATGAATCGTGCGTCCAAGCATCCAGCTCAATGAATCCAGCTCAATCATCGGACCAAATGAATCGTGCGTGAGCGATGCGAACCTAGTCGCGCCGCCTCCAGTTCCCGCCCGAAGCGAACAAACTCGTCGCCCGGAGCCCACTTCTCCCGGAGGCGCCGACCGTTTTTGGTCGCACCCTGAGGCATTACGCGTTTGTACAACTCTGTGTCCAGCCGCCTAGCAGAGCTGGCCACTTGGAGTCGAGTTAGTCGAGTCGGGCGGAGCCCACAGTGTTGAACCTCCCATCCTCAGGTCACATGTCACATGGATCTTCATGGCAAAAAAGATGGGATTCTGTTTGGGATCTCACGTTCGGTCCCTGAATGCCACTGCCAAATCGCTGTGGGGTGCGGACCCGCTTGCAGGAGCGTCTTCTGGCCGCCAAAGAGCGGGAGCGAGAGGAGGCTGAAGCGCGAGAACGCATGATGGCCGTGAAGTACAAGGAGTTGATGCACATGATTTGACAATCTCATAGGGGATCGAACGAAGACTTCGGTTTTAAACAGAATCTGATTGCCAAAGGAGCTGGACATTTTCAAGCTGGATATCATTGCCCGAGAATTGAAAGCCCTAGACAACGAGCTGCAACGCGTGGGCAGTGGCGTCAAGGGCCTGAATCAAGCTGCGGCACGGCTCAGGACAACAGCATGGCTCGGTGATGTTGAAGACATGAAAACAACAATTTTTTCAAGTCCGCCCTTACTTAATTGAGTAGGCGCCTACTTGATTAAGTAGGGGCTAAACAGTAAGAGTCGGTAAACACTTGTCACTATTTTAGGGAAAGGCCCTTTTACCAACCAGGCCTTTACCTCCACATTTACTGGGAGTACGATATACCGTTTAGGCATGCTTGTTGGAGAGCTACCTTAGTTGCCTCATCGAGATTCATGCCGATGATCCTAGGGTCTTCACATCGGTTACTGCCTGTTCCGGGAGGATTCGTTTGGACACCACTCCTTGCTGGTGCTACACAACGCTCGATTTTGCTTGTAGATGTAAAGATGTAATAGATGTGGGGCGTCAGTGAATTAGAACTTTTCAGGCCAAGGCTAAGGTGCAGTTGAGATGTTTGAATTCACGTTGGACTTCCGACGTTAAAATGATTTGCGATCTGCAAGGAACTATGATGAGCAACAAGGCATTGGCGATCAAAGTGACCAGCTTCTTGATCAGCAGCTTGGCTACAGTCCGAACCTTTTGACAGGCTGGTGTATTGCGTATGGCCGGTATGAACGAATGATGGAACTGAACTCACACAGCTGATCCCACATGTTCGGGAAAGGACACATGTTTGGCCTTTTCCCGTCGCGTACTTTGAGAGCTGAAGATCCCAAGACCAGTCAGCCCAGCCAGCCCAGGTGCAAACAATTGCGCTCTCACATCCGTGATGTCATCAACAAGTGTCTCTCAGAGACTCAAAAGATGCAGCTCGATTGCGTGTAGCATCGCGTCAGCCCCTCTTGGAGTATGATGAGTATTAATTGTACACATGTTTATCTCCGCGACTTCTGGGGAGCATGAGCTTTCCAGTGGCACCAGCATGGGCTTTGCGTACGCTCCTTTTTAAAGCCTCCCCATCATTAGCAAAGCTGATGAGTGCGACGGTTCATTGACTCGCAGGCACATTGGTGTGGGCATTGACGACCCTCTTGCAGCTGGCGACCTCAAGGCCGCTGTTATGCTGGGACCTGTTTGAAGAAAAACCACCAGACGGCTGGTGCTAGGTGCAAGACCTGTCAGGTGAGGGTTGTGTTAGAAGAGGATCCCGCCACTCCTCCTTTTCTTTATCTTGATTTTGTGTGTGACTTCCCATCGCCCAGGATGGAGGCACGATGATTGCTACAGTCTATGAGGAAATCGAACGTGTCGACCATGGCAGCTCGAAAGCTGCCAAATTACGGCAGCAAGATGAATCGCGGCGTCGCTGAGAAGCGCTGAAGCAGATGGGTCAGGGTACAGATGCTAGCAGAGATGGTGTTTTTTGGTGAAGTTCAGGAATGAATTTCTGAATTCCTCCTAGGTTTCTTTGCCGAAGGCAAGGGATTAGCATTCCGAGGCAATCAAGGACAAAAGATAGCGCTCTCCCTTGGACAGAGCAGAAGGGGCCCAGATGTTTCTGGGAAGGCTGCTTGACAGGACCCCATGCGGAAGGCTCACAAATGTATCTTTGCACAGCTAGTCACTAAAGCGGTTTTGTGAGAAGAAGGGCCAGGGGAGTTGGGATTGCTCAGTTAGGAGGACCCGTGTCATAAGAGGAGTGGTTAGGATGTTGACATGTTTGCTGGCTGACTGAAGCAGTTCTACTGCTCAAACCCACCAAGCAGAATTCAGTCAGAACATGTAGGACATAGACTCATGTGTTTCGAACATTGAGCTCACGGGGCTCTGTGATTTTGATATCACTTGCTTGAAGTTCTGCCACGTTCTGGACATTCAGCCATAGTACCATCCTAGCATCACCAGGTTCATCTTAAACATCGGCATTATTTTGGATGATCATCTGAGACCTGCCATGGGAGCCCTAGGCCTCGCTGCACAGTGTTTAGACTTTTTAATCATAAGAGGTGAGTCGTTCCACCTCCTCTTCTTTCTCTTTGACGGATTGAAGGGTAAACCTTGGATTACTTTGTGCTTTGAGTTTGGAATGAGTCAACGGCGGAATGGCACAGTTTGGCTTCAGGTTCGAACGGCACAAGAAAAGACACATCAACATGTTACTAGTAGCTTCTTGACTAATAGCGATGGCCTCCAACCTAATAGCGATGGCCTCCACCTAGTAGCTTCTTGAGTAGCTTCTTGCTAGATCCTTTTTGTACACTCAGAGGCTCAGAGGACCCAGTGAGGACCCCATGGATCAGGTCCCCATCAGGCAGAGGAACTCCGCCCGCTTTCGCGCGCTTTCAGGAAATTCCGCCGAGCTCGAGGCGGAGCTCATCAAGCGGAACCGGGAGATCGCCAAGGCGACGAAAGCGGGAGATCACCCGAGGTTCTCGCGGCAGAACGGCCGAAAGGGTTTTACCGAACCGTCACCGGAGTCGTTGTCGTGTCGTTTTGTTTGGATCGAAGTACAGCAATTTTTATGGTCCACAAAAAAGAAGCGCCTCAACTCCTTCAGTCACACACCGAGAAACTTCAAGTCGCTCATGTCTTCGTCTCGCATCTCGTCGTTGCGAACCGTCGTGCGCTGCTGTGGAAATGGCTCTGCCAGGTCCGCGATGAGGTGATAAAGCTCGAGAGGCCGCACAGAAATGAGTCCAGTCTGGCGGCCAGAGCATTCATCACGGACTGGGGAATTTGACGCACTTCTTGCTGTTTGCACCGTCTTCTCATGAATGAATTGCTATTCTCATCTATTCTCTTATTAATTGCCGTCCTTTGATGAAACGTCGACGGATGTGCGTGGTGTGGATGTGGGCTGTTCATTGGCACCAGGCGTTTGCATGAAGCTTCGCTCCGTAACGATGACTTGTTGGAGAAGGTGAGGAAGTGAGAAAAGCTAGAGGAGTACGTGAGGAGTACGATGGATGGAAGGAACCCACATGGATGGGCTCCAACCTCATAGCAATGGCCTCCAACCTACTAGCAGTTACTAGCAATGGCCTCCATCTGGAAGCCACATGGTCCTTGGGAAGTCCGAAGACATGGCCTTTTGTTGCTTGAACGACTTGGATGATGTAGAGAGAAAGAGAGAGTCCCGGACAGTGAATGGCTGGCGAGGTCGGCCTGTTTGGGGATTCCTGCCTTGTAGTGCATCATTCGCATCACAACGAATAGAAACAACAACTTCTTTCCATCTCTCATAACTCGCGAGAGACATCATCAAGTTGCCGTGTTCGTTTCTGAGATTTCAAGTCAGCACAGTGCTCGACTGTTCAGGTCTCGGTGCTCGACTCAGAGGTGGGGAACTCCGAATGGGCCGGTTGCCACGTGTGATGATGTTCCAGGGTACTCCGAATGTGGAAACATATTAAGTGATAAATCTACATATTGTGTTCAAAGGCAATGTCATGAATCATGAACATACAGGAAGATTCTTCATACAATCCTTTTAAAGAAAGATTTGGCACATCTTACATTTTCACAACTTAACCTTCAGCTTGTCCAAGCTTTTCGTACAGAATCTCCAGGTTACGAAGAAGACCACCCTTCTCACCGAATCGGAGCAAAAGGCGCAGAATGAAGCGAGAACAAATCTTGACACTTTCAAGGAATGCTTTGTGGTGTGCCGAGACATGCCGAGACATGCCTCGGCCTGCCCGTCACAGCCTAATTAAGATGTATAAGTGCAATCAAAACCTGACTTCTTCCGTGCGTAGCTTCTTGTTACGTGCGCAGAAATGGCCTCCACCGTGCGTGGCTTCTTGCTAAAAGAAGCTACTTGCTCCGAGCCCCGATCGTAGCGTTCTTGCTCCTAGTAGCGATGCCCTTTGCTCCGAACGTAGCGATGCACTTGTTCCTAGTAGCGTCCTTGTAGATACTAGTAAGGCACTTGTTACTACTAGCGTGGCACTTGTTCCTAGTAGTAATGGCCTTCAGGTGGCAGCTTTGGAAGAGAAGCTCAACGGATCGGAACAGGCCAACCGACCTGGGACCGTGCGACGGAGAGCTGACGAGACAGGACCTGGCTGCCCTTTCGGTCGAGACGGTGAAGGCCCGTTTGGTTCAAGAAAGATGGCCTTCACATGGCCTTTTTCCAATCAGGATCTCGTTGGCACATTGGAAAAGCATCAGCTTTTTCGCATGACTGATCCCAAGTTTATAAGAATCCATTTTCTACGTACAATTCTCTCACTTGTATCGCCTGCGCTTTGGATGCTTAGACAGCCCTTTCTGGCCATGGAAGCTGCTTTTGGGCTTGTGAGATGATTCTTGGATGATCAGCAAGGAGGTTTGGGCGGCTAGGTTTTGGACCAAAACCCATTTACTGCCTTCCAACATAGAATTAGAACGAGCCCGAGTCAACACTGGAGCAAGTGTTCGCGCGGACTATACCAAGCCTTTCTTTGTGTGTTTGGCACACTTCTGCATTCTGCACTTGACATGGTACGATCGCTAAGAGGCTGCCGCGGTTTTCCAGGCCAAGCCGATCGAGGCGACGCGGGTGTCTCTGCATCCGCGTCGACAAACGGAGTGACTCCGAGTGAAGACCGAGTGACTCGGCGCGTTGAGGCATTTTCAACATTCCCGTCTGTGGTGGATTCTGTGCTCCTACTCAACATCCTGAGGACTGTCAACTCACCAAAAGGCCACCAGGTTGAACAAACCTTTTCCTTGGTCAGTGCTGTTTGTCGATCTTTTTGACATGTGTCAAGACCTGGAGTCTTGACCATATCCTCAGTACCCACGATTTCGGTCATCAAAGTGCCAATGAGGCTTGAGGTTTCTTGTCGTGGCAGACTCATAGCACAGCTTCGCAGGACACCTGCCTCAAACACTTTTCCAATGAGTACACCTTGCCACTTGCGGGTGTGCCCCAGCTGCACGGGTGCGTCCAATTACCTGTAACAGTCAATGAAAAGAACTACTTTTGAGAAAGGCCTTTACCAGCCATCATCTACCCAACATATATACATATATATATATAAATATACATTTTCTTGCAAGATATGTAAATAACTAGTGTAGAAAATAGAACGATCAAGATCTGAAGAAAAGAAGACACAAGCAACACAAAACATCAAGAGATTCAGCTCAAATCAGCTCCATGGGTGCCGCTTCAAAGCCTGGGAGATATTACCAAAAGCTGCCAGAGGGTCCTCCAACAGTGGCCCGGGAAGAAAAAGGATGAACACCAGAGATTCAAGGGTAGACGGTATAAAGACAACATCAATTCACAAAGAATAAAGAAAGAGGAACACCTTTTGCTTGGTTTCTGAATGGCTGGTTAGTGGCTAGAGTTCAGATCACATAAATTTTCGAGCTTATTTCAGAGTTTCTCTGCCTGCCCTGCTCAGGTCTTCATGAAGCTCGGCCGCTGCCTGGAGACGAACCGCTGCTGCCGGCGCTGTGGCTCTGCGGGCACCTTGTGGGGGAAGCGGCACCGACGCCGCCCGGAGGAAAAGGCGTAAGGCGTTCGGATGGCCTCCAACCTACAAGCAATGGCCTCCCTTACTGGAGATGGCCTGCAACCTAATATAGATATCAAAGAAGCAGAGCAAACATGAGCAAACTGCAGAGCAAATGAGGTCTGCATTCTCAGTTGGATGATGTTGGATGAGATTGCTAGCTTCCTAGCTGCTAGCTGATCTCCGTTTTTTCCATCAACAAAGACCAATCAGTCTGAACTGGTGAAAGGGTAATATATAGTCAGCCTGGCCCAGGGCCTTGAACCGAGGATGTTTGATGGTGACCTCATTTTGGATCTCTTTCGTCGCATGGCTTCTGAACATTTACGCCGTGTTGGCCTTATCCAGCAGCCCCGAGGCTGGGCTGGCAGAAGAAAACCAGTTCTTCTCTTGTAAGATTAGAGCAAACAAGTTGCTGTAAGCAGTGCTTTTGGTTAGTTCTTTCTTTTTTTTCAGAAAGCGATCAAAAGGTGTGCAAAGATGCATGAACAGAAGCCAGACCGTGCGGAAGTCTCACTTGTCATCTTGAACGACATGTGCAGGTTGTCAAAGCCACAGCTTGGGCCAAGGGGAAGATCTCCTTCAGCGGGAAGTATGGCGGCGCTGATTCGTGGGTAGGCGCTGACTCGGAAGATGGGAAGATGGGGGAGGACTCAGAGGGCGTCCTTGCTTAGCCTTGCTTCTAGTAGCGATGCTCTTTCTTACTAGCAACTTCTTGCTCCTAGTAGAATGGCCAGGAGCCCTAGTAGCTTCTTGTTACTAGTAGTAAGAATGCTCCTAGTAGGAAGGCCAGGAGCCCTAGCAGCGTCCTTGCTCCTAGTCATCTTTAGAAACGGCTGTGCGCTGCGCTGCGCACGCGTCGCGCACGCGTCGAGGCCTGGGCGGCAGAGTCGATGAGGTGAACTGTGGTTTGTCCGACTACACGGACTCCTGCAACGCTTGGTTCCGTGTGCTGCCCGCAGGGAAGACACCGTTTTGGAACTGATCAATGTTTTTTTTTGTCTGTGTAAAAGGTCAGCACAACATGAGAGATGCATATGTTTAGTTGGCTGTTGGTCCTGATCCTGCAGTGATTGTGACTTAGATTGGAAGACTCTGTTTTCCGCCGAGCGACTGTATGACTCGTGTGACGCAAAGCAGCGAGAGCGCGATGGCACGAAGGCGCCAATGCCACGAAGATGAAGGAGATTTCACCAGGTGCCCTGGCAGCTCATGAGGCCGTTTTAAGCCATTCAAAGTCATCAGGAATGACTTCAAAGGAGTCACCAGGAATGTAGTAATGTACAGTGCGAGTGTTGGATAAAACAGGCTTGACAAGACCAGGGTTCCTCATCTTCAACCAGTCATTTTGAAGCTTCAGTGTGTGGGTGGTGGTTAGCATCCTTTTCTTACGGTACAGAGTCGGTTCGGTTCTTTTCGGGGTAAAAAAGGAGGGCACTTTTTGACTCGGCTCCTCGGGAGGAGCCGAGTCAGCCGAGTGGAGGTCCATTGCTTCGGCAAGCTGCGACCGGTTGGAGGAAGACCATTCCTCAGGATTCGGAATGTCCAACGAAGATCGGCCAGGATTGGCCGCTCTGAAGCCGGATGGATGGAAATAGCCATCGGCCGGAGCGACGATCACGGAGGATCCATTCCAACCTGGTCGCCCTTCTCAGCTGAGGAATCTTTCAACGACATGTGGATTTCAAGGACAAGAGGTCATGCCCCCAGAGCATCGTCGGGGCTCCCAGTGTGGTACAGAAGGGAATTCAGGAAACTTCAGGAACTTCATCACTTGGTGCCCTTCTAGACGTGACAAGTGGTGCAGCTTTAAGTCCTCGATTGCGTCTAAACATTGAGTTGGGTTGCTCAATTAGTTCGTGCGACAGGCAGTTTGGGTCAAGCTGGACTTCCTTCAGCAATCAATCCATGTTTTTTTCTTGGGCGAGCAATGCTGCTGCACCGAGAAGGAACTCCGACAGAGCTATTCCGCTCACCAGGATTGACACCCAAAAACGTTCGCTCACGGCGAGGTCTTCACAGGAGGCCATAAGTTTGGAGATCTCATTGAGGAGGCGGGCTGCTCCATTCTTTGTACTGGGTGTGTATTTTTTCTCTTTCCCTGATAACTACGGTGGAGTTGTGTTGACTGGCTACTTGTCTCAATCGAAGTGTTGAAAAACATACGTCATGGAGGTGGATGACTGGACACCGGAAAGGACTCGCCTGAAAGAAGGGAGTTCTATGATATCTAGGATTTGTCGGTGTAACAGGAGGCCTTGTAGGCCAAGGTTCAATGAAAGTTGAAAATGGCTGCCGCTCGGTGCCGCACACCTTGCCACATCCGCCGCGAGAGCTTCGTTGCGCGAAAGCACCGGTCGGAGGTCGTCGGATTTGATGTGGAGGCATCTCAGGAAATGTGCCAAAGCATCCTGGCTATCTCAGCATGGCACAGGTCCTGGAATGTCCTGCATGTCCACGAAACCGTGTGTTTGGCGCACATCGACCTACGATGACTCCTATAGGGGAATACCAAGCATCTCCCCAAGTAGTTTGGATTTCTTGACATTTCTGGTCTCAAGACATTTCCGAGTCTCAGTTCGAAGCGTCGTTTTACCAACATGAGCAGAGGCTATGCATTTTCCCAGGTTTTTCTTCCAGAAACACATTGACATGGGAAGAGATGTTGAAAGCTTCAGAGACGTGGATGGACCTCCAAGGTTGCTTGGACTCGGCGGCCAGCACCATCAGCTTCGCTGTCATGGGCTGCTTGGCTACGTTGACATCGGGGTGGATGAACTTCGGGAAGGGCAGCGGGTTGCGCTGACTTGATATTCTGTGACATGCAGGTGAGCTGATATGCATTGAACAGTTTTGTGCCTGCAGTTTCTGGTGCATCCTCCCGCATCATCTCTTCGTATCCCGCATCCGCCTTCGCCACGCCTCCCAAGGTGCCATCACACAGATCCCACAGATGACCACCGATTTGCAGCGGGCGACACGCTTTGGAGATGTGAACTGCCAGGTGTCGGAAACAACATCATGTGCTTTCATGAGCTGAAATGGAGTCCGACATAGTCCGATGGCTGCTATGCATCGAAGGCGACGATGGGTGCGATCACATCATTCTGGGGCACCTACAGCGGCATTTCTTCGCTGGCCTCTTTCAGTGCCTTGCTAAGATGGTAGAGCAGGTCAGTAGAGGTAGCTATAGGAGAGTAGTTGCAGTTCATCTTCAACATGTTTTGAAATGCCTCTCGCTGTCCTTTTTTCGCTGATACCGTGTGGTATATATATATGCGGTCTTTGAGGGTTTCAGAGCCTGAGGTTATCAATGCTGGCGACGCTTTCCGAGGTATGCACCTTGTCATAGATGGCCGGTGTCTGCCAGACCGTGCTGAAAAACTCGCCAGAAGGAATCGCCACCATGTGCCACCATTGAGTCAAGCAGTCGACAGGGTGCCACTCTTCTGACGTCTCCGCTCGCCTTACCAGGCAAACTCCTCGTGAAAATGTCGCCTGTGGGCCCGAGGTCAGAGAGCGGAATGGTGTGCTGGATTTCTCTTGGTCGATGGGACCAGGGCCTCTTGGAGCCTCGTTGATGGGCCGCCAGTCGTGGCTGGTGTTTGTGCAGAACACACGTTGATGGGCCCGGAAAAGGAGAGAGTTCATTTGGAACTGTCAACTTGCGAATGTGCGACTGAATGCTCTCAAAAGAAACACACAAGCAAAACAAAGGGTCTAAAAAGGCCATGATAAATACATGTGCCTGGGCCTAGTCAAAAGAAAGCTATTAGGTGGAGGCCATTGCTATTAGGTTGGAGGCCATTACTAGTAATAAGAACGCATTATAGATAAATACGTCATTTTTCCTGACCTTGGGTGCAAGGCTTTCACCAAACGCGGCATTTGTTGCAGTCACTTTTCTTGTTACATCATATCGCTGAGCGTTGTGTGCAGGGTTTTTCATGTTCTTAAAACTCTCATTCCCAGGCTGAGAGTTTGGTAAGAACAAGAAGCTACTAGGGGCTCCTGGCATCGCTACTAGGAGCGATCGGACGCTATGTTCGGGGCTCCTGGCCTTCCTACTAGGAACAAGAAGCTACGAACGGGGCTCCTTTGGACTTTGGAGACCTTCTCGCGAATGGGAAGACTTGGTCTTAACAGTCATAATTGCACAGCAGCATTCGACTGTGGGTGATAAGGTTCCTGTGTATGCTGATCGCCACGATTCTCAAACTATGGGATGCAATGGCACATTTTATTCTGCCCACACCCAATGCAAGACACACCAAGCCACCAAAGGAGGCGGGGCCGGTTCTTGCCACATCAAGATCAGCCTGTGCTCTCTATTCTAGATGAACATTCTGGCCCCTCCAGTTTTACAAGGAATTGTAGAGCCACAACTGGCCACAACCAGAATTGATTGCAAACACCTCACCAGTCCATCTTCGGTTTCATACGCTAAACGAGAGCAGTGACCGGAACCTTTCGATTGGACTGGATCCTTCGTCTTCCTGTGCTTCATCGAATCGAAGCTTCACCGGTCGTTGTCAGTGCGACGACATCTATGACTACATGATCATGGCTTATGACGTGCCAGATTCGGAGATTGATGAAACTTCAGAGTCTGGCTCAGACAATGCCTGAGGGAAGTGAGATGATAATATGATGGCCAGTAGACCGGAATACTTGGCTTGGGTCAGCCTTGAATTGGTTTTCAGGATGTTCAAGTGATGCAAGCGTTGTGAAACGCCACAGGACATGTTGCTGGGACTCTCAAGGCCAAAGGCATCCACGCATCCACCAACTTATGAAAAGACATCCACACATTTTCCACGCATATACTCACGTAACCCCTATTGTGCTTGGCTAGGCAATGCTGACGTGTCACCCATGCCTAAATGAAATGCCTTGGTACCTTCAGGGCGGATGGACTTAAAGTCTCAGCATTTCCACCACCGATGACTTGAAATCAATTGACATCAATCGAATCGATTAGAAATCGCTGGTCCAAGCTCGATGAATTTGTGACCCTTGGGGTCTTTATGATGCACATTCCAGCCCTTTCCAACCTAGCTCGGATTAGGCAAGGCTTTGTTCCACTCTGCGAACGAAGCAGCCTTGCCTCCCAACTACAGTTGGTCCAAACGGGCGCGGAGTCTTCATCTTTGGCGTGCAAAGGTTCTTTGAGCCATCGCTCTGCATGTCGAGGTCATAGTTGAAAGACCTAGAAGCGATGGCCTCCAAGCTAAGAGCAATGGCCTCCAACCTAGAAGCCATGAACGATAGTGAAAGTCAACTTTTATAAGCTTAGATCCCATTGTGGGAGAAACCCTGGAAGCACGCAGTCTTTGCACTGGAATGTTTCGGTTTGGGCCTTTGATCCGGGTTTGCACATTTTGAGGGAGTTTTCCAACTTGAAAATTGAACAAAGGCAAGTTGAGACGTTCTTGTGTGACCAACCACCTTCAAGACCACATGCATGTTGAAATTCTAGTCAGACAGCCTGGCGAATGTCCGACTGCATGGCAACACGTTTCCAACACCACTACTAGTAAGAACAAGAAGCTATTAGAAACAAGAAGCTACTAGGAACAAGTGCATCGCTTCTAGTAACAAGTGCCTTACTAGTAGTAACAAGGTTCGCTACTAGTGCCTGACGGTTCTTTTGGGCCAAATGGTTCCAAACGGAGAGACCGCGCAGGCCTTGGAGACTGCGCAGCGGCGCTCGGCCGAGTTGGCTGGCGAGGTGGAGGCCCAGAAGGCGGAGGGGAGGACACGACCGAAGACCTTCACGCCGGAACGGCCAACTGACTAGCGGCCTCCAGCGATGGCCTCCAAGACTAGCGATGGCCTCCAACCTAATAGCGACAGAAATCGACCGTGGAAGAAACCGCCAATGAAACGGCGGCCAGGAATGTGTGATTTCGCATGAAACGGCGTGGCTATTGGATGCTGTTCAGATGCCTTTTTGGGTTCACTCCGTCATTGAAACTCTTGTTCCGGTCAGCGAGTGTTTGAAGACCGTCTGGAGTAAAGCACGGTCTTTTCCTCTTATCTTTCAAAGTAAAGCACACGTGAACAGGAATCCTACCAGAAAGAGGAAGCGGAGGTTGCAGCTTTGAGAGAAGAGATCCGCAGGATGGGTGTGCAGCATTCCGAGGAGCTAGAGAAGACGAAGGCTGATTCTGCCCATGCCTCGGACCTGGCTGCAAGCATGGATCGGCTTCAAGCAGAATATGCCGAGGCGAAAAAACAAGGAGAGACAATTGAAGCCAAGGCAAAGGAGGAAATTGCAGAGCTCAACTCACTGCTTGA